GGAATCCGACCAGATAACAGTTTTTTAACTTCAGCAAGTTGTTGTGAAGCCTAGATCCGACCAGATAACAGTCAACTTCATTCGTTTAAAATACTATGAAGCCTGGACCCGACCAGATAATAGTGTAAATTTTCAAATACTATGAAGCCTGAACCCGACCAGATAATAGTACAACTTTCAGTCACTATGAAGTCTGGACCCGACCAGAAAATAGTGTATTTTTTCAAATACTATGAAGCCTGGACCCGACCAGATAATAGTGTAACTTTTCAAATACTATGAAGCCTGGACCCGACCAGATAATAGTACAACTTTCAGTCACTATGAATCCTGGACCCGACCAGATAATAGTGTAACTTTTCAAATATTATGAAGCCTGGACCCGAGCATATAATAGTATAATTTTCAGTTACTATGAAGCCTGGACCCAACCAGATAATAGTACAACTTTCAGTCACTATGAAGTCTGGACCCGACCAGATAATAATGTAACTTTTCAAATACTATGAAGCCTGGCCCCAACCAGATAATAGTACATGTTTCAGTTACTATGAAACCTGGACTTGACCAGATAATAGTTAACTTCTCAAGACACTTTGAAGCCTGGACCTGACCAAATAAAAGTTTAACTCTTCGAGATATTAAAGAACCTGGACTCAACCAGACAAGGGTTTAACTTTTTTTCCCCAATAGAGTTTGCCTCTACCCCAACAAATTATTGTGAAGCCTGGATCCAACCAGATATCAGTTCAACTTCATCTTTTCAAGTAAGTTATTGTGAAGCCTAGATCCGACCAGATAGCAATTAACTTTATTCCCCCAAAAATTCATTGTGAAGCCTGGAACCCGATCAGATAATAACTAGTTTCAAGAAAGTTATTGTGAAGCATGGATCTGACCAGATATCAGTTCAACTTCATCTTTTCAAGTAATTTATTATGAAGCCTGGATCCGACCAGATAGAAATTAACTTTATTCCCTCAAAAACTCATTGTGAAACTTGGAATTCGACCAGATATCAGTTGACTTCCTCATCCTCAGCAAGTTGGTGTGAAACTTGGAGTTCAACCAGATAACAGATGACATTCAAGAGATAATCCCCGGCGGAAGCATTCTTTTAATAAATTTGAAAATATGTATATTCTTCATCCCCAACAGCAATCCGGGATTCAGCTTCCCAGAACTCCTCAGCAGTAGTCAGGGATTTATTTTCCCAGACAAATATGCATCTAAATAAAATCCCACATTCATACATCATAGCATATGCATACGAAACACATTTAGCACAATCTCATTCATCTTGAGAATGCCATGCATACATCTGCATTTAACTAACCCTTTTTCCCACAGGCAAAACATCAAGTTTTAGTATAAATCGACCAAAGATTTATACTGATACTTCTTCCAGTATTTACCATCATTCCTCCAAATGGCATCTATAAGCCCATTCCCAATACATCTTCGAGTGCAAATTTCTGGGCACTTTAGTGTTCAATCATCTTTCACCTTCAAGTCACGAATGGCGGATCCGCCAATCTAACTCTTCAAGTTTAAGAAGATTGAACAGGAGCAGCTATTGTACCCAAAACAATTTCCTCCCATTTTCTTCAAGACATTCTTCTAGGGTTCTCAAATGTTCAAGGATGCTCAAGAGTTGATTAGACAAATTCTCCTTGCGTGCACTGTTGCTAGCACGTGGGCTTATTTTGTGGGTGTCGCCCGGCGAAGCAAGTGTGCCTTCCGACGAGGCAAGGCGGACAAGCCATGTTTGTAAGACACCTTTAAAGATATTTTAGGCACGTTATCACATTTTACTTAATCTTTGTAACCTAGAAAACTCTTGTGTGGAGAAAAAAAGTCATTTTTACTCAAAATCAAAGCTTTCTAACATCAACCTTTGAGATATCAAGTTTGATATTTATAAAGTTTATAGTTTACTTGTTCATCAAGCTACCATGATAATGGATAGCTAAACCCCTCTTTTGTGTCAAGGTTAGTGGTAGATAATCTCATCTTTGTATGTATTTAACTTGATATTTTGTATGTGAACACTTGATGATAAATATATGGGAAAATACACTTGTTTTATGATTTATATTTGAGTTGATCAATGTTGAGAAGTTGCGCTGGAGGCCATCATCTAGGAGAAGGATGAGTCCGTTCGAACGTATATTAAAAGATTCAGTCAGGAAGCCGTTTAGATCTCCACGACAGACGGGATGAAGAAATATCTCCTCGAGCGAGGCTTACACCCTCGCAGTGAATTCGCTAAATCAATCGGTCTAAAAACTCCTGCGATGTGGATTCCTTTATGCTCAAACTTATAAAAATCACAAATTTATTTAACTATATTTTATATAGAAGTTTGATAAAATTTAATGGAATGAAAAGTAAAACAATAGAATGGAAGTAAAAAGATGTATATTTAATTTTTTTTTAAAACTATGTTTATTTCAAAAAGAACTAACAGTAATTAAAATATATAGATCAAAGGGGGTTAAAAAATTAAATTTTAAATTATAAAATAGATTTTGTTTCCTTTTGGATTAGAAGTTGAAATTGGCTCTTTAGTATCAAATCTTTAATTTATGGGTAAAATAAATTCAATGTCATTGATTGATCGAGATTCTAAGATTGATATATATATTTTTTTTCATGTTCTAAAAAGTTTAGCCTATAATAAAGGATAAAGGTGGCTGAGATATATACAGAAATTATCCAACTAAAATTTAAATAAACAAAGTATCCTTATTTTAAGTTTAACTCTACTTGTGACACCCTATTTTAAAATTAAAAATAAATCTATTGTAACAAATTTTGATTGATCGAAATATAAATATCAAATCTTTTCAAAATTTTGTAACAAATTTTACCTATAAAAAAAAAAAGAAGAGAATATGAGATATATGATAAAATACAAATATTATTTAGTTTTCAATTTTAAATCTTCATCATCGAGATTCTAAGATTGATTTTTTTTTTTTATGTTCTAAAAAGTTTAGCCTATAATAAAGGATAAAGGTGGCTGAGATATATACAGAAATTATCCAACTAAAATTGAAAAAAACAAACTATCCTTATTTTAAGTTTAACTCTACTTGTGATACCCTATTTTAAAATTAAAAATAAATCTATTGTAACAAATTTTGATTGATCGAAGTATAGATATCAAATCTTTTCAATTTTAAATCTTCATCAATACTATAAATACACACTTCATAAACACTTAGAATATCACAACACAGCTAGACATTATTGAGAGAGAGAGAAAAAAGAAATCAATGGCTATAGAGGAGAAAAGTGCATTGTTACAAAACTCAGAAGAAGTCCTGATGAAAAAGAAAATTATGGCTATTGAGAAGATCAATATATATATGCAAAAATTGGAAACAATGAAAAAGAAATTTGACCCATTACCTCATTTTACTTTGCATAGTGTGTTATCTCAACTTTCTCCACAGTTTTATACTGAATAAGAGTTAACACAAATAGAGAAAGTCAATCAAATTTTGTATGAAGAAGCAAATATTCCTCTTGTTTCACAAAATAAAGTGGAAAGAAGAGAAATCAACAACTTAAAAAGGTGTCGGCCAAGTAATGAAGCCAGTAGCATGTCTGATGGAGGAAGAAGAGTAAAACCAAAGCTCGCAATTAAGAGGAAACCAAGAAATCATAAGAGAGAAACTCTACCATCACCACCACCACCAGAATTGCCTAATCATGTTAATGACATAATCAAAGTGTTGAATGGCATTGATATTAAATATATAATGTGTAAGACATTATGTAACACCGATCTTAGCTATAACAACAAACGTCTTTCAATGCCAATTTCACAAATTAGATCTGATTTCCTGACCGAAATAGAAAAGTCAATCTTAGAAGCAAGGGATCAAGAAGGAAAACCAGCTACTTTAAAGGTTACTGTATTAGATCCTTGTTTGAATGAATTCTCATTACATTTGAAGAAGTGGAATATGACCACTACTAGCATTTATAATCTTGCTCAAGACTGGACAAAGGTTTTGTCAAAGAATAATTTTAGGAAGAATCAAAAAATTGATATTTGGTCATTCAGGGTTAATGACAAGTTATACTTTTTACTTGATACTAATGAGTCGGAAGAAATTGAAGAAAGGGAAAAATCAAACAAATCAATTGTGATTTCGACAACGGAAGAAGAAAAGAAGTCAAATGTTGAAGATTGTTGATTCCAAATAAAAAGACTTTGAGTGAGGAATAAATGGGAGAGAAAAGTATTTGATTAATAGTTATTATTAAAGTTTTAATGTCGTAGGTATAATTGTTGTATGAATTATGATGTTATCTCTAGTTTGTTTAAGACTATATTTGTTATATGTTTATAAATTTCATAATTTTTTAGTAGAGTAAATTATTTTATGTCAACATAATGAAAATGTGAAACATGATATAGAGACGTCAAAATACAAGAGCATTTATTTCCATGCTCTCTATCATAGGATTAAGACTTCTTATTCTTATTTTGGAAGCACGTGTAAGATGCTTGAAGAGAATAGGAGAGTGGAAGAGTCTCAGAGAAGAGAAGTTCTAGAGCTCCAGCGGAAGGAGGAGGAGCAGCAAAGGGAATTACAGATGATTCGGAGACAGAAAGAAGAGTCAGAGAGTCAGAGAAAGAAACTCGAGGAGGAATAACACGCTTATCAGATCAATTCTTATGGGCAAGAACAAATCTAGGGCTAACTCATATGGTTTGTAATTACTATTAGGCAATGTCATTCTGTACGAATTTACGCTTGTTAGGAAAGTGTGATCTTGAATGAATGAAAATTTGATACTCAGAAAAATTTAAAATGTTACTTCTGTTTTGAGGTTCATATGAATTGCATGACAAAATGGTCTTCTTCTTTCACTGGTTTTGAAAATTTCATTCTGCAGAGTAGTTAATGATTAAAACATACACTTACAAGAATGATATGTTAAGAGGGATTTTCCCTGTTCCTTAAGAAGAGTAACACAAGTCATAATTTGAGCTTCATGTTCTTACAGGCTATATGTGACACTTGTTCATCCTAAAAACCACATTAAACTATGAAATCAAGCTTGGCCAGACAGATATAACACACCCATTTCTAACTAACCTACTTAAAATGCAGCCTTACATAACCATAGAAAACCAAACACAATAAATTATCATCCTTTCCTTTCCTAATGTTGTTGCAGTACATCCAAATCCAATGGAGCGACATTGTTACTAAAACATGTAGCGAGATACTTACTGTCAACCAAAAGAAAAAGCCACGTTTGGGAAGATTATCACCAGCTGCATCTATTTGCTTTGCAAGATCTAAAAACAAGAATCAAACATTACATAGTTGCAAATTTTCAAAATAAAAACCAACACATTTTCAAAGTGGTTTTTGCTCTATCACCATAAATCCTCATCAATCAAACACAATGAACTGAAAGAAAGATTAACTTCACATAAGCATAGAAAAATCCTACTTACCAAGTCTGTTGCACTCTTCCTCACAGTAAGGCCTATTCACTTCATTCATTAGTCTTTCTCTAAACTCTGCACCTTTCCTTGCACTCACTTCATTATCCTACAAAAATGTTCATCCTTTCAGATATAAACCAACACAAAATCAAAAAAGTACCGATTTCAATTGCATGCAGTCAAAATCAAAATCATTTACCATGGGATCATGATCCACATGCATCATGTCAATTTCTTCAACATCATCATCCTCGACATCATAATCTTCTTCATCTTCTGTGAGATTTTCTTCAGCATTGTTGTCTCTATTTTGCTCTTGAAGACCAAGGGTATGAGATTGTACAATGCTGGCTGAACCCCCTGTGAACTGAACAAGTTCTGGGTCGGGTTTTGGATGCTTGATAACAAATTTGTGAAGAAGGTTTTTGAAGTAGTTGAACTTGTTTTGATTTTTATTTTGCGTGTTCTTGTATTTGAGGTAATCATGTAAATCATCTTCACGATCCCAACATTTTCTGAGTTTGTTTTTCTTCTATTTTTATTTTATTTGATACAAATATCTAATAAAATCTCAACAACAAACATATATTACTTTTATCTTATTAATTTTTTAGGAACAATTCTAAATTATATGTAATCATTCTTTTAATAATTAAATAATATCTAATTTATTTTAACATACTTTGATTTCATAGTTTTTAATTATTTTCAAATAAAATATATTTTTTATTTTTTATTATTGGCCACATGTGCTACACATTAACCCTTTTAAAATTAACAAACTCATTTATATGTAACACAAAAATATCTCAACAAACTATTAATTAAAAAATTGTCCAACCAAAGTATCTTATTTTAATTTTTTTGTTTATATGAGTATTTCAAATGTTTGAAACAAATTGATATAAATATATTAAATTTTTATATTCACATTAGATTTTTAATATAATTGATATAAAAATTTAATTATTATCAAATATTTTGTAAGATCTGATATATAATATGTGGATAGATTTTGACTGTCACATTTCAAAATAAAGTGTGATTAATTTTTTTAAAATTTAATTAGTCTAGGACCCGTGCGTGGGTCGTGCAAAATCGTGACTTTTTTGTTTTGTTTAAAGATGTTAGGTAACATTGTTTTATATGTTTGTAGTTAGACTATCAGAAATAAAAATGCAAAATGTTCTATGTTTATGATAATTAACTTGATATATGACTTAATATTCATAGTATTTAGATTACATTTTTAAAAAAGCATAAATATTAACCTCAACATCAATACGATAACTACTGACATAAGTTTATAATAATTTATTTTAAGACAAACATTTAAGCATCTAAATGGCACGGACAAAATAGCATAAAACCTTATACATTAATTCCACCAACCATCTTTCGGCGCTTTCTCTCCAGCTTAACATATAGTGTCTTTGAATCAGATCAGTAATGAAAAATCAAGTTATTATCAACATTGAAGTTTTTAGACTTTGCATATTCATACCAACCATTTTTAAGATACATCTCAGTATGTGGCTTTTTTCCTTTAAGAATCTGGCAATCATAATATTCCATTTTATCAAGGTCTATCAAAGATAGAGCAGTCTGATCCGCACGAAAATTCTTCCGAACTATCTCAGCTGGAATGTTCTAAAAAATTTAAATTTTTTGTTAGTTTTCAAATAGAAGAAAAAAAATTCTATAATATGCCATTAAATAGTTTATATGATTTATCACCATGACATTTTTTCCTCCTTTTGATACTCTTGTGATTTCTTTTTCGCAGAACAACTTTGCATTATAATATAGTCTGTTGAAATGAGATTTTTGAACAATGACATTATTATCATGTTGCTGATGTACTCCAACGTCTTCTAAATTAACCTGATTGGAATTAATTTCAAAAAACATAACATATGCTTCAAGATGGATTAGTGACTGATCATGGTCGGTTGACTTCTTTATCTCCTGTATTATTTCCATATCTATCTCCGTTGTATAGGACCTGCACCAAAAATGGTTAATAACACTAAATCGGATAGAATAATAATTTTAGTTGGATATCCAAACATAATTTGAAGTACAATATATATGTTTATAACCTTCTTGAAGATTTAGAGAAATTATATGTATTGTGGCTATTGAGAAGTATACTATTTATATAAAGAAACTGTGGGGCTGTAATAGATTTTTTTGTTTAGAGTTGAAAAATGGTACAACATAAATTGTTTCTAAACAATGTAAAAATCGTATAAAGCAACTATTGTATTGAATATGACAGCATTTAAAAAAATTATAATTAAGGGAAACATGTGGGTATTGGTTGAAGTATTCATCTGCCCGTAAAACTTTACTTGTATAGCAATAAATAGGAGAAGTTAATCTATAATACTGTTAATTGGAATGTGATATTTGCATTGGAAACTGATGGAATTTTCTATCATGCGTGTGAAGATGAATCAACAAAATTAAATTGACTATTCCCAATAAAACAAAAGGAACCGCGCGTATTAGGTTTTATTTTCTGTTTGTTGTGAGAGAGAAAACTCAGTCCGAAAGAAACTACTCCCGGACAAAGAAAAATAAATAGATCGCGCCAGCATTGCCGTAATTGGATTTCAGACGATGATGTGGATTGCATGAGGTAAGAACTTGTTTGGATATCCCTGTAATTTTGAGAGACTTAAATGGGTGTGGGTTAATGGCTTGTGTATGTCTATGTCTTTGTTATTATCCAATAAAGAGAATTAAGTTATTCATTCATTGTATTCGAAATACAACAAGAAAAGCTAGAGAGATAACCCTATTCTCGCAACCTCAATTCTGCATAAATCAGTCTCAGAAAATCGGAGCTTGCGCAAAATCCAATGGTCGGATCGTTCTGAAATTTTGACACAATGTTCATGACTCATTGGAGCACATTCTGAATGATTTTGATTCGATTTGAAGCTTTCTAAGTTGGTATGTCGAGTCCATTTTTGAAGTCTGAATTTCTTGGTGTTTTTGGGTTGTTTTGTCTTTCTTGATTCTTGTTGTATTCCAATATTGATTCTAAATCTTGATGATGTCTATGTATGCCTCTAACTAGTGTTAGATAGAACCTTTCTTGTAGCCATTGTTGATTATATTGAATATTTTAAGTGGCTTACGGGTCTCATGAGTTTTTACTCCTAGTTAACGGAGGTTTTTCCATGCTAAAATTGTGTTGTGTTGTTTAATGTGTTTTTGATAATTGTGAGTGCATTTGATATTTGGGAGAGTTTTACTTTTTGGATTATTCTGTTGCATTTGTGATTTGCTCCCAACAATTGGTATCTAGATTCGTGGTTTGATTTGTGTAACGATGGAGATGAACATATCTAGGATTGTGAGGTTGAATTGTTCCAATTATAATGTTTAGAAAGGAAAAACTGAAGATTTGCTTTATGTGAAAGGTTTTTACTTGTCGGTTTTCTCTAATGAAAAACCCGATGGAAAGAGTGATGAAGAATGGACTTTGTTGCATAGAAAAGTTTATGGTTATATCCGTCAATGGGTGGATGATAATGTTTTGAATCATGTGAGCTCGGTGAATCATGCTCGCTCTCTTTGGACCAAACTTAAGGAGCTGTATGCAAGAAATACGGAGAATAATAAGTTGTTCTTATTCAATCAATTGATGTCATTGAGGTATAATGATGGTTCACCAATAACCGATCACTTGAACACTTTTCAAGAGATTCTAAATTAATTGTTGGAGATGAATCTTAATTTTTATGAAGAAATTCAAGGTTTGTGGCTTCTTGGTACTTTGCCTAATTCTTGGGAGACTTTTAGGACATCCTTGTCAAATTTCGCTCCAAATGGTATCATCTCGATGGACTTGGCTAAAAGTAGTATGTTGAATGAGGAGTTGAGGCGCAAGTCACGAGGTTCTTCTTCATAGTTTGAGGTTTTGATTACTGAATCAAGGAGAAGACATCAAAGTAGAGCTTCAAGTAATCATGAAACTTCATGTGGTAAATCACAAGGAGGCTCTAATATATTCTCTCATATTGAGTGTTATCATTATCGGGAAAAGGGACACATAAAGAGGTATTGTCGTAAGTTAAAAAGGGTAAATAAGAAGAAGAGCTACAACAACGACAAAAAGGAAGGTAACAATAATGAAGATGTTGTTATTATTGATGATTTCTTTATTGTTTATGATAGTTGTATTGAGAATGTAAATATATCATATGATGAAATGGATTGCGTGGTTGATAGTGGTGCTTCTACTCATGTAACCCCGTGTTGCGACTAGTTTTTAAATGAGAGTCGGCACTATTAGTTTTTATCCTAGATAAGGGCATCTAATAGGAAACCTTAATTCGCAAACATAGATTATAGGTTTCGGACTCGGTTCTAGATGAAAGGAAGGTTTTAAGTACCTTTCATCTACCTTAGTCTTAAGAATACTACGTTTAGGTTTAGGTTTGGGTGAAATAGGGTTTTAATTTTAATTAGGGGAACTCGCCACAATTTTTGATCGTATGCATATGTATCCTCTTATGAGGAATCAGAGTCTCAATTCGTAGTTCTTATGGGTTTTTGTTTTTAAGGGGTTGCAAATGTATTTTGAATCGCCTCGCATTTGACCGGGAGTAGTGATTGCGGAGATTTTGGCTAAATGCGCGATTAGTCAAAATCCGCTTGAAACCCTTTTGCAAAAAAAACAGTTGTTTAGATTAGTTTGTTCGCGAAAAATAGTTTAAAATTTGTTAGTATTTTTAATCGTATTAATTGAACAAATATCTTGATTAATGCATGAATAAAAATATTTTAATGCAAATATTAAAAATATGTACATGAGTTTTTTTTAAAACTAAAAATAGTTTATTTGTATGATAAATAAATAGTAAATAAAATATGATAATAAAAATTAATATTAATAATTATTATTATTATTATAAAGAAAAAGAAATAAGTAATCATATTAATAATAAGAATAAAACATATAATATATATAAAGAATAGATAAAAAATATAATATAAAATAAATAATAAACAAAAAATTTAGTTAAATCATGGAGGTGTAATTTATGTTGATAAGCAAAAATGGGGGGTGTTAATTAGTCAGGCTAGGCTGGCCCAATGCGCAGGGAGGTGCGTTGAGTTTACTGATTCAGTAAAACAAGCGAATGAGGGTGCGGACAGCAGATGGGCTAGGCCCAAACACTATAAGAGAGGGGCCTGGTGGATCGAGTGTTGCGAGGGTACACGAGTTTTGGAAGCACGTATAAGATGCTCTCTATCTGTAGTCTGTACTACCATCGTAGTAGCCAAATATGCCACTTTCTAAATTAATTAAAAATAATAATTGAATTAAAATTTATTGAAAAGAAAAAATTCAAAGACATAAACCTAATCCAAAAAATAAATCGTCTGAATCAATTAGTTTAGGAGATAGTCAAATTAATTAAATTACTATATATAGAATTTTAACAGATTTATTAAATCAATATATATATATATATATATATATATATATATATATATATATATATATATATATATATATATATATATATATATATATATATATATATATATATATATATATATATATATATATATATATATATATATATATATATATATATATATATATATATATAATTCAGTAAAAATAAATAAATATTATATATACTATTAAAAAAGAGTTACACAATTAAGTTTTCTTATATTACGTGTCACTTACACAATTATTGTTAATATTTTAAAAAAAAATTCTATTTTTTTTATTTGATACAAATATCTTATAAAATCTCAACAACAAACATATATTACTTTTATCTTATTAATTTTTCAGGAACAATTGTAAATTATATGTAATCATTCTTTTAATAATTAAATAATATCTAATTTATTTTAACATACTTTGGTTTAATAATTTATAATTATTTTCGAAATAAAACATAAATTTTTATTTTTTATTATTGGGCATGTGCTACACATTAACCCTTTTAAAATTAACAAACTGATATTATATGTAACACAAAAATATCTCAAAAAACTATTGATTAAAAAATTGTCAACCCAAAGCATCTTATTTTAATATTTTGAAACTAATTTTTTTTTGTTTATATGAGTATTTCAAATGTTTGAAACAAATTGATATAAATATATTAAATTTTTATATTTATATTAGATTTTTAATATAATTGATATAAAAATTTAATTATTATCAAATATTTTGTATAATCTAATAAAATGTGTGGATAAATTTAATATAATATGTGGATAGATTTTGACTGCCACATTTTAAAATAAAGTGTGATTGAATTTTAAAAAAATTTAATTAGTATAGGACTCGTGCGCTCGCATGGGTCGTGCAAAGTCGTGACTTTTTTTTGTTTAAAGAGATTAGGTAACATTATTTTATATGTTTGTAGTCAGACTATCAGAAATAAAATACAAACGGTTCTATGTTAATGATAATTAACTTGATATATGACTTAATATTTATAGTATTTAGATTACATTTCTAAAAAAACATAAATATTAACCTCAACATCAAATATGATAACTACTGACATAAGTTTATAATAATTTATTTTAAGATAAACATTTAAGCATCTAAATGACAGAGACAAAATAGCATAAATTCCCATACACTAATTCCACCAATCATCTTTCGGCGCTTTCTCTCCAGTTTAACATATAGTGTCTATGAATCAGATTGGTAATAAAAGATCAAGTTATCACCAACATTGAAGTTTTTAAACTTTGCATATTCAGACCAACCATTTTTAAGATACATCACAGCATGTGAATTTTTTCCTTTAAGAATCTCGCAATCATAATATTCCATTTTATCAAGGTCTATCAAGGATAGAGCAGTCTGATCCGCACGAAAATCCTTCTGAACTATCTCAGCTGAAATATTCTAAAAATTTAAAAATTTTGTTAGTTTCCTAATAGAAGATTTTTTTTTATAATATGCCTTTAAATAGTTTATATGA